ATTATTCGTGGAAGTCCAGAGAAGGTTTAAAAAGTAGATAAATATGAAAATGCTCGGAATTAATTAAAAATAACAATTTTGTTTTTCCTGGAATGTGTCCCCCGTCGGACGGATTCCTTTTGTTTGTTTTAAGTTAATTTTATACAAAAGTTTGGGTCTTTTATTTGTCGATTGAGGCACTACGAAGTCTGCCGGGTCAGCTAGTTTTATAATAAAAGACGTAACGTAAAGATATTTCGTGACGGGTACTTATTGGTTTTTGTGGCGAAGGGCGAGACCGCCGTCATACAATCTTGAGGCCTCGACCTCATGTCTCAAAGCGGACGGGCTCCGATCGCTTGCGGGCCGTGAGTTCATTCAATCATCAGAAAACCAGAAAACCCACTTCAACAATATTAAAATGAGAATATCATCAATATCAATGTAGTCAGAGTTAATGGACCACATCAGAAGCTTCTTCTTCTTTTTTATCTCCACCTTATACCACTAGGTGGGGTCGGCACAGCTATTTTTTCTCTTCCATTCTCTTCTATCAGCCTTCATCTTAACACTCACTCCTCTCTCTCTCTCATATCGTCATTCACACACACCATCCATGTCTTTTTTCGGACGTCCACACACTCCATCCACGTTTTATTCGGTATCGGCATCAACAGTTCGATGTTTTTAATTGAACTTCAATTAAGCTTACTCCATTCAAATAGCCGAAGAAGTTGCTTCGTTATGATATTTTTTCCAAATTTCAAACTTTTAAATGGCTCTCCTAAAAACACGACAATACAAGCTAATGCAAATGTAATCATGTTTTAGTTTCTATTAAGGGTAGACATTAAATATTGTGTTGCTTAGTGACAAAGTACTATTCTAAATTTCATATTTCTCAATTACTCATTATATATTTTTACTTTTCTTATTTCATAATGTCAACTATTGCACTGTCGATTGCACCTATAATTGAGGTGACATCTGCCATGTATACTTACTGTCAATTTGTCAATGTTTTGTATCGATGATCACTTTGTTGGTGCAACTAAACAAATACCTGACCCTTAAACCTAATTGACGATTGACTTCCACGGTGAAGGAATAACATCGTGTAATAAAAGTGAAACCCGCAAAATTATAATTTACGTAATTACTGGTGGTAGGACCTGTTGTGAGTCCGCGCGGGTAGGTACCACCGCCCTGCCTATTTCTGCCGTGAAGCAGTAATGCGTTTCGATTTGAAGGGTGGGGCAGCCGTTGTAACTATACTGAGACCTTTACAACTTATATCTCAAGGTGGGTGGCGCATTTACGTTGTAAATGTCTATGGGCTCCAGTAACCACTTAACATCAGGTGGGCTGTGAGCTCATCCACCCATCAAAGCAATAAAAAATAAAAATAAAAATTCGAACTAACGCAAAACCGACTCCAACAAAACATAGGAGGTATTTAATATGAGGCACGACGTTTAACCCGTAAACACTCCACCGATGTTACTCACTGTAAGCTTGACTCATCAGTCAAGTCTCTATCTCGTAAAAGTTAACTCAAATTTGTATGGAGTTGGAACAGCGCCCCTAGCGGCAAACGCAGCGAAACTGTTCCAAATCCAACCAAAAAAACTCGAACTAAGCACACAGATTCGCACGTTAAAAAATGTCGGACTGTAGTAGCGGTAACAAAACTAATTAATTACTTTCCCCCGCGTAATTAAGGCTCCATTTCGAATGAACGGTCCACAAATTAAACATAATAATTATAACCAGTCGAAAAGATCTCTTTTTATAACAAACAAGCTAACAAAAAAGCCGGTTCACACTCAACGCGGTTCGAGTTACGCAACGCCTGTAACTTGTTTACTATAAAAAAAAAAAGAAATCCGAACACGCTTTTACCGAGTGTGCGAAATGCCAAAAATTGTCCTTTGCTTTATTATTAACTTACGCGGCTATTTGGCTCGTAGCGAACAGATCGTAATAACTACTTTAAAAAAAACTCAGACCTTAGAACTCCTGTCTCAAGGTGGATGGCGGTATTTACGTTGCAAATGTCTATGGATTCCGATAACCACTTAACAATGGGTGGTCCGTGAGCTCGTCCACCCATCTAAACAATAAAAATTGTAGTATGATATTTGTTATTGTGTGGAAGGCGAACGAAATCTGGCCAAGCTCAAAAAATTCAATCCACAAACGAACATGACATGGACATAGGCAATGTCTTTAAGTAGTATACTGTTAAACCTAGTCGAAAAGGAGACTTGTCGTGGTGTTCTGGGATAAAGGCCAAGAGCCTTTCCTAAAGTGCCATATAGACACAGCCCACTGAGCTTCTCGCCGGATCTTCTCAGTGGATCGCGTTTCCGATCCAGTGGTAGATTTTGCGAAGCACTGCTCTTGCTGGGTCAGTGTCCGGTTCATCCGGGCATCACTCCGGTTTGAGCCCCGTGAGCTCACCTACTAGTTAAGGTTACGCTGAAATAGCCTCTCGAGGTTATCAGCTTAGGTAAGAAAAAAAAAGTGCCAACCACAATTGTACTAAGTTTTAAATTAAGCCAAATTTGTGACACGCGAACGCGTAAACACGATTAGAAACAAGGACAAACTAGACAATTTTACTAGAGGCGTTATTGCTTGTAAACTTAAATAAATACCTCTAATTTCATAGATTATATTTAATTAAAATTAATTTTAGTTTTCTGTCAACTTATTACAGTTTAAAATTTTGTATCATTGCATTAGAATACCTTAGTGAGCGAGTACGTTCCGAGCGGTCTCGGTGGGCGTTAACACTAACCGTCGCTCGCAATGTGAAAGCTTCCGAAATGTCAATTCGAATTTCGAATATAACCTGTAGTTTTCTTCAAACAGTCTTGATCGTTTTAAATTGTTCCGTTTTATTTATTTATTGTACTTCACAATTACACTACGACCTCACTTTAGAAGGTCACTTTCGAAATTCGGCAATGGAATAATGAGTGAAAATACAATTAATACAATTAAAAGATCATTCGCGTGATGGTAAGTGGTAAAACGTATTTCTAAGAGTGACCTTGTCAATTTTAGGGCCAACATTTATTTTGGAGTACGTCAAATTAAGATTTCTGTTATTGCCCATAACACGCTGAAAACCGTGAGCATACCTGAGCATACGTTAAGGACGTGCTAAGACTCAGACCAGCGGTCGCCCGTAATTTCAGCACACAAATGAGTGAATTCGAATAAAATAAAACTTTGGTTTTATAAAATAAAAATAAATAAATACTGTACGTAAGGGATCAATATAGCTTCGAAAGAATTGACTGTTATTATCATCGAAAATTTAGTTACGAACGTCTTATAGCTTTTATTTTGTTTAACTAAGCAATTATGTTTGCTGGATCTATGAAAACTATAGAAAAATTTGCTTTTTCATAACTTTAGATTGTTCCTAGTTGCCATAATACTGAATTTATGAGAACCAAATGAAAGGGTCATAGAGGCAACCGTAGACCATAATGTGGTATACTTGTTAATTATAAATATTTACTCATGTATCATTATTGTTCTTTAGACGAGATATCTAAGGAGTCCTCAGATGACAATACTGTTGTCCATGACAATGACCATCAATACTAAAAAAGATGCTACCCGCATTTATTTTTGATTCGCGTTAAAACCATTATTAACTATGACCTAAAACTAAATGGTCAAATAAATGCTGAAATATGTTGAATTACGCTTTTATTGGTTCATCATCGCCCCACGCGTCGGAATGATTGGGCGGTGGGTGGAACTTGAACACAACCTAAGCCCCTTTGCTTTTGAACCACACCCCGTTGGTCCAAATTCAGGAAGGGTGCGCATCAGAATATTTACACATCTCGTTTCGCCACTCGGATGGCACACCGGGCAGTCGGCCTTACCTTACCGCATGAATTATTAACGGCAAAACCGCTCCCGAAATAGTCTCAGTAATTATTTTAAACCGTGATGTTCAAACACAATCTAAACGGCTTTTATGTCGTACGAAGCAATAGTTTTAAGTCAGCAGTCTCTGAAACTCGCGAGTGATTCAAAAAGAGCGAATGCCGAATTATAATTGGCCACTTTCGTGACACGTAACAACGCGAGCTTGCGTAACAAAATGCGAGAGACAATTATGCATGTATTAATACCGGAAAAGACTCTTCTCGCTTTCTACGGGTTCTTTTTTTTTGTGTATTTCTGTTATTTATGTACATTTTATTTTGATTATTTTATAGCGTACGCTCACGCAATATCTTTTCCGCGTTCTCTAGATTAAGATTCGTTCCTAAATGTTACCAGTTGTTATGTTCGAGTTTTGGTATGTTGGTACCGACTATCCTTCCGTTCTGTTGGTAGTGTTATGTTAAGCTTCGCACATTTGGGGACCGACACGATAATACTAGAAATACTTGTTATAATTATAGCGTTCAAATGAAAGAAAAGAAAGAGTTGTTACACACATTCGGAGCGAATTATCGTAAAAATTCAATGTTTACTTTGTGAGATTAATTAAATATTTTATGATGCATATTTAATGCAATTAGAACAGAGAGGGGTCTGTTCATTAACTTTGTACATCCAGATACCTTTGGCTAATTTTAGATGGAGTAACTCAAAGAAGTATTAAAGATAGCTGAGGTGTCGTTAGTAAAAAAGCCTTGATCGACCTAACTATTTACATCTGATGCAGATTTGGACCTGTTTTATTTTAACGATAATTTCTTTGAATTTTCAATTAAGTAAGCAACTTTGTTTAATTTTTATTATTTTGAAACCGCAACAGTTAAGCTAAATACAACATAATGTTTAAGACAACACGGATAAAAAAATTGTAGACCAAGAGAATATCAGACGGGTGTAAATCACGACAGCATCTAATTACAATTGACAATATGTGTTTAACTTGAAATTTAAAATTGGATTAGTTCAGGACTTTCGTATAGTTACGATCAACGTAAGATCAACGCCCAAATCTGCGATTTACAGGTTATTTGATGGGAAATTACCTTTAATGCTCCCACCTGAAGTGTGTGGCTGTTGGCTTTGCTGCACATTGGACTGCGCCTCCAGCTTGCTCACAGAGTTCCACATATCAAACATGTTCAACATGTTGGGCCCGAACGGACCGTCACAGGCTGCTCTCAACACTCATCCGTCAGCGCGCTTATTGTACCGTGTATCATCTTTTAACTGCACCAATATTAATAATATCAAGTTTCAAGATTGTTCGTGCGTCGTACAAAAAAGTCTTAAGGCTACGTCACTGATCCCGGGTTCTTTGTAATTTTTTTTATTTTATTTTATTTAGTTTTAATTATTATTATTGCTATTAAATATTTGTTTTTTTTTTGTCTATCGCGATTAATAATATTTTTAATAAATATTCTTCCTCTAATATTAATATATTATAAACTTTCTCAAACGTTCAACTAATGTAAATACTCTATAATTCTTTGAATACGTAATTTATTTATTTAATTTAAATCTACTATAATATTCGGATTAAATATCAGTCTAAAATTTCGTTTTCAGGTTTACAGGGCACTTGCTCTCGGGAAGTTTAAAAATGTGGGCACTTTCGAAAATGACTAAATTTAAATTGTGTATTAAATGTTTTAACGATTTAAAAACTATACGTGATTATATAATATTTGCGTATAAATTCATTAATATGTGTGTGTAACAATCGTGATATTGTCGCGGTGCTTCGGTTATCGGTTTCTCATACAAAACGATTATCGCATTTCTTAAGTCCGTTTCGATTCCCTTGTAATGTTCCATTTATATATTTTTTTCTCTTCATAGTACGTAGCGCGATGTCGCGTGCGCGTCGCCGCCGGCCGATGTTCACAGTTCCAAATTCGAAATTGCCGAGACGAACGCGACCGCCATTTTTGTTTGCGAATTTCGAATTTTTTTAAATCAAATTCCGAATTGTTAGCGTTTTTTTTTTTTAATGACCGACAGTCGGATTTTTTTTTGTTTTAGTATTGAACCATGTCGCGTTCTTTCGTTCACTGAAGTGCAGTTGCATCGAGGCTTTCGGGAGGGTGGGGCGGTTCGGAAGCGGCGCTACGCAGTGCGCATGCTCGGAATCGATCCCGTTCGCTCGCCGAGCGTTCCTAAAGAACTATTTTCCTCTATGTGGGTATGCGCTGATGGAAATATAGGTGTGTTAGCTGTTGTATTATGTCATCCTCTTTGATGTTCGTCGGGGTACTTCTGTCGCGGTCTCTATACAAGCGCGCTGCTCTGAGCCGTTTGACGGCTCGGCGAATGTAATAGGGACGCGCGTTGCGATTCGTTTTGCGATATCTAATCAAACAATCAACGATCCGATATCGGTGCGTTTCTAAACGATTTGTCGTATGAAATAAATGTATCTAATTTATAATATTATTTTTTGAAATGGCATTATATAGGCAGACGTGTTTATAAACAATACAATCTAGTTTCAGGGTTGTTAAAAAAGATTTTTTGAGACGAGCTCGCGGGTGTATTAGCTGATAGCACACGGACAATTTCGTGACCCATCTTGAGGTCGAAATTGTATTGTATTAAATTACAGGTGTATCGTCCTATAGACCGCAAGGGTGACTGTTTCGCGGCAGAAATTGCCGGCATAACGCTACCGGCCCGCGTGTGTTAAAAGCTTACCTCAATTCATATGGAAAACTCCACTTAATTACATAAATGCACTTGTCGTTTTAACAATGAACCGGCAATGAAATGAGAAGACGTTACGTAACAATTCACCGACTTTAATGAAAGGAGGAGGTTATCAATTCATGAACCGATTTTGTTGATCGTTTTTTTTAGTTTAAAAACTAGTGCTTTGCATGTGGTCCCGTTGTGTCTAGATCCGATCTATAGTTTTTGAGTAATACATGAAATAATAATACATATTCATGAACTTTCACTAGATCCATGATGTTCTTATTTCATTTTGATAAAGTCGGTTTTGGTTAAACTTTCGTTAATATTTTCAAATGTATTTTTTTTTGCTGTCATTTCAAGCATCCTCAACACTAAGCATTGACAATGAAAACGCTAGTTCAAAAAGAGGCAATGGTTAACGAAAAAAAAAATTACTGCCTTTTTCTGAAGTCGGTTAACAACCAAATTAAGACAGGATGCGCGTGTAAAATTTAAAAGTAATAAAATGACTTTCGGAACATTTATCATGAAATACCGAAAGTGAACGAACAAACACGAAATTCCCCGAAGCATTAGCAGAACATCGTGAACTTGTCATAAGCTGAAGCGATTTGATTATTAAAAATTAACCATGAGAAGTGGCTTTCTTCGCTGCTTAGATGAACAAGCTCACGGCCCATGTGTAGTGGTAACTGGACCTATAGACCTCACAACCTGAATGTCGTCACTTTGAGACGTGAGGTCGAAACGTTAATTGTACGGGTGATCCCATCCTTCAAACTGTTTATTAAATGCCGGCGATCGCAGTACTCTGGTATAATACTCAGAAAACGCTGCTTAGTCGGTCTACATTAGCCACGAGAAGAGATAGACTCTACTGACTCTACTAGACTCTACTGGTGGTAGGACCTGTTGTGAGTCAGCACGGGTAGGTACCACCACCCTGCCTATTTCTGCCGCGAAGTAGTAATGCGTTTCGATTTGAAAGGTGGGGCAGCCGTTGTAGCTATACTGAGACCTTAGAACTTATATCTCAAGGTGGGTGGCGACATTTACGTTATAGATGTTTTTGGGCTCCAGTAACTACTTAACATCAGGTGGGCTGTGAGCTCGTCCACGTATCTAAGCAATAAAAAAACGACACAGCGTATTCAAATACCAAAAAGAACTCGCAAAGAATACAGAGCTGTAAGCTAGTGTGGGACTCTCGAAAAAATCTAGGTCACATCTATGACTGTTTGTATACGACAAGGGCTCAAGTTCAAATGGAAACAATTGCAGAGTAAACCGTGCTTAGTAACAAGATACACGCAAATAAACGATAAACATGGATTATATCTAAATACGTAAATCATATACACATAGGTTTGAGTATCATGACATAAGTCAATCGATCCAATCAGTATTGCCTAAATAAATTATAAAGGCCCCAGTTTTAAGACGAACAGCGACACGCTTGTGCTGCGTTACAACGAGTTACGCGTAATAATTTCATCACGCAGCACGTGATATCTTTCATTTATATACACAAGGCCTTTAAATGTTCGATTTGTTCTTACAGACTTCTCAAAGGGCCGCGTTTTTACACAAATAATCGTTGAACGCGTACAGCAATATTAGCTAACGGTACAGTACTTTCACTGCGCACTGACCTGCGTAAGCCGATGTCCTTTGAAAGCTTCTAAATAATGCGGGACTCAATCGAAGGAACGCATATAATTGAGCTGCATTGTCCTTAGCTTTTTATAGTGATTATTTGAAAAGAACATTCTGTTGATACAGACAGTAATAGCACCTTTTTATTTTCATAATACTTAAATTATTATTGTCAGTAACACTATATTTTAGGATTCGTAACTTGTCCGCTGCTAAAACAGTAGTCGACTCCAAACATACTTTAAATTTCCTGTTTCGATCAAAATGTATTCATATTTTTCTTACAGCTCATTTTTTTTGTTTCCTGCTTAATTTATCTAAAATAGCAAACATTACAATTCAAACCACAACCAATTTCTTCTTCGTCTTCGTTCCCTTTCCACAAATAAAAGATCATTTGATAAAACAGAAAGTAATACAAGTTTCAAAGCACGAAATAAAATGATTGCAGCCGTGTTAACATTAGCGGGGCTAGCAGCGACAACGTTGCGCAATGCCCCGCGCACACACATGCAGTTGTTACACGCTTTTGGAGGTTCCCGTTTGTGTTACAAGCGTGAGCGAGAGCGGTTTGAGGCGATCGAAAATGTTACTTAAATGTTCAATTACCTCGCCGCCCGCGATAGGCGAATTTATCAACATGCCCGTTGATCAATAAAGATCCGATTTGAAAATCGAAGTAATATTGAGCTTCGACCTCCAGTGACAAGGGGACGGCATAACGTGTGAGCTGTTACGTCATTCGGCCATTTTGTGTTAATAAAATTTTACCATTACAACAGATTTCATGCTTAAAGAAATTTATAACTATCATGAGCGATTGAAAGGTCTATCACAATGATAGTTAGTCTGAATGAAATAATGAGAATGACTGAGTTCGTGCATAATATGTTTTTTATTACTATCGATGGTAGATGAGTGCTAGGCGCTCTTGATGAAATGTGGGAACTATTAAGATCTATAGAGCCCATTGTAATAAAACTAAATGAACTCATCTACCTTCGACTACAATAAAAATCTTGTAATTTGCATGCATAATTTGTGATACAGTTTTTAAATGTGTGACATATCCTAAATTACACGAAAAAAAGGCGATGATAATTGCAAATTTTAAAAAATAATGCTCGTATTAAATTTTACAATTAAAATAATGTATTTAATTTTTAAAAAAAACGCTACATCTCTCAACTTCGACCAAAACCAGAACGCGAGTGAAAGTGGCGACTGCCAAAAAATCTTATGTGAAAGTTGCCGAGACTCGATCGATGCCATAATTATTATTGACCATTGTAATAATAATAAAAAAACCCGCTAAAAACTCCAACCGGATGTGACGCGAACGATATTTAAATAAAGATATTTATTTTAAATGAATTTCGATTAGTTGTTTTATAACAACTCAGACGCCTATACCGATCTTTTGCTATGTATGTTTTATACGTGTATTAATTGAGTACTCGTGAACATTTGCTTGCTTATTAAACGCTGGGTATTGAGCTTAAACTGATTGGCGGATAATCTGAAATGTTATTTGTATACGATGCGAAGACCTCAACTTTATGTGGCTCTATTGCTAATATGTATTAGTTTTAGTGATACTAAATTGACTATAGAATGTTGTTTTGAGATAGTTGGCGGATTTACGTTATTAATGTTAAATCCAGGAGCCGTGAGCGCGTTCACCCATTAAAGTTATAAAATAAAGTAACAATTCAAAAAATTTGTTTCCACTCCTGATGCTTATAAGTGTCGCGGCTTCGGCAATCTATTTTTTTTTCTCTGACAAACTACTTTCAAAAAATACTACTAATAATTGCTTCTAAGAGCGGGAAAATTACAGTTCTCTTTTCAAATTTTTAATAACAGAACAAAAGAGAAAATGTTAGGTACACATAAATATAAATCTTCATTTGCAGAGATTACGGTAGGTTTTCGTTCGGCGAGCACTTATAACTTAAAATGTCAACCATCTTTTTTTTTTCAGTATTTGAATTGAATTCTCGCGTTCCAAGTATTTTACATGCATTTTATATGTAAGCAATTTTTATTATTTTATTAATTAGATCGGTAATTTAAACACCAATCCATTCACTTTAGTAACATAAATACGAATTTGAATGTACTAATTTATTGGAAAATGCTTATTTACGAGTTTGGTTCGCGAGCTGAGTATTTAGACCGAAAATAGAGTAACAATTCAAATCCGATATATATTTTAAAAAAAAGAGGAGGTTCTCAATTCGATTGTATGTTTTTTTTTATGTTTGCTACCTCATAACTTTTGACTGGGTGAATCGATTTTGATGATTCTTTTTTTATTTGAAAGCTGACTCTTCTCGTGTGGTCCCATTTCAATTTAGTCCAGTTCTGATAATGGTATCCATCAGAAAACCATATAAGACTTAAATTTGCCTTAAGTACGTGCGCGACAAATAGATGTATAACTCAATATCACACCAACCGATTTCGATGATTATTGTTTTTAGTGTATATTAATTTGTTTTGGAATATCTTTTTTTTCTATTTGAAGTCGGTTTTGGTTAAAGAATGTCTATTTACTACATATTTACACTATTCTGTAGGTTCGGCTCGCTGTCAATTTTGAGAATACACAAATATATTAAAACAGTGATTTATTTCTGTTTTTTTTATTTTTGCTTAATATTCCGAAAATCTGTCTGGATCGCCAATTTT